AGAGTAATAAAAAAGGTTTCAGACAGAAGTAAGAACAAATCAAATCCCCTAAGGTAGGAAAAGAGTTTCAGATACTGGAAAAAGACAACTAGAGTCAATGTGGCTGAAACATGGTCAGAGAGGAGACAGCAGTAAGTAATTAGAATGAAGTGACAAGCGTAGGCAAGATCATACAGGCTGTGTTAAGAATTTTACCCCATAGAAGGAATATCAGCTGAAGAGTAACATTCAATTTGCATTTACACGAGATCACTCTGACTGCTGGGTGCTTAATAGGTTAGAGGTAGACAGGAAAGAGTAGAAATAGAAGACCAGTTAACAGGTATTACACATGGTCTGAGCTAAAAAGAATGACTTGGCTTAGAAAGATGCAATGGCTATGGGGAGAGGCAGGATAATTCATGACATATTTGGTAAATGAAGGAGAGACCTCAGATTTAGAGATGATAGGAAGAGTGAATGAAAAGAATAAGAGGGGAAAAAAATCCAAAAATTCCATTTTGAAAAAAGAAAATTCCTTCAAGAAGCCTTTCCTTAAACACTAGTTTCTGACTTTTCTTTCAGTGGTTTTACTTATTTTTCTTGCCCCAAATACAAACACATTTGAAGATATCGCTTAGACATCCTCTTTTCTCCCACCCTAAGTCTCTTTTAATTTCATCTGAACCTACGCTCTGACTCTAAAAGATGACTCATCAATCCTGGCTTGATCCAAGCTATCTCCTGAGCTATGACTCACATTTTCAACTGTTTTCTGAACACTTCTCTTTAGATGAGCCCTTTGTACTTCCAGCGACTGGAAATTAAATTCACATCCTCCATATCTACTATGGGTCTTATTTATATGATTGTCACTCCCATTGTTCTAGTCATCTGGATTCAAATTCAACACTAGTATCTGGTTCCCCCTTGCTCTGTTTCCATTGCTATGGTTTTATCAGTGGACACTTACATCGTGTGTTTCTTCTTTCCTTATATTTTCCTGAAGTGAAAGCCCTGATTGTACCTCAAGCTCTCAGTATACTTTACTAAGATTATTTTTGTAACTTCTTAACTATCTTCCCACCTCAAATATTTTTCTTATTCCATCAACTGGCACATGACCTTTAGAGTAATCAAGCTTAATGACAATTCAAGTCATTTCACTTTTGTCTAAAATCATGGATGATTCTATTATCTTCAGAGTAATTTTCAGAATCTTTAAAAGTATGTTAAATGGCACTTATGATCTGACCCCCAATCTATCTTCTCTACCAATATATCTTGTCATTACCAAATAGCAAGCTGCTCACCGTTCTGAAATTTTGTAAGATGCTTTCACAACTGTATGTCTTGGCTACTACCTTCTGAACCATTACTTTCACCTTTTCTTACTGAAACACTCCTTTCTTTGAAGCATAAAATAATGCCTTTTCCTCTCCAACTAGAAATATGTGCTCCTTTTAAACCCATTACTTTATTACCAGAGGGTGCATGCACAAGAAAGAGAGAGAGTGAGAGTCAGAAAGAGAGAAAGCAACCCTCTGTTGGCTGTAGTGACACAACTCCTTCTCCTCTATTTCTCAATCCTGTTGGGATCTGGAGCATGCATGCACATGTGCCCAATGTGTATTTTTAAACCACAGAGCCCAGGATTTGAATCATAGAAGGCATTGTGGGATCCAGATTTCTTAACCTCTGGGCTACAGAGCCAGACCTGGTTCTTATATTCCCCTGTAGACTACAGTCTTTGATGACTATGAACAAACTTTTATCACTTTTTTATCTTCCATTGCACTTTACATACTACCTCACATATAGCAGGGATGCAGTAAATACTAATTCACATTGACATAGTCACACCATTTCTGGTGAGTTTATAATCTGCCAAGTAGTCTAGATAAATGTAGTTAGCTACGTGTTGAATTTCATCTTAAAGGTGGATAATATGTGAGATTAATGTTTTTACAAACTGTTTACAGAACTGAAATCTATACTTCACTATGAATGGGACTTTATAGGATATAACTTAAAAGAATAATAAATTTAAAATGCCTCAGGTTTTTGAACTATTATTCAGGTTTCCTCCTTTTTTACACCTTCCATTTCTTGGGGGACCCAGTAAAGAGCAGTCTTTATGGATACATTTAAATGCGGAGATATAATCATAAAATTTACCCACCAGTTTCTCTATCAACCAAAACAAACACTAGGCTATTTAAACATTAGATTGATTTTTCTGAATTGAAAGTGTTGCCTTATCTAAAATTTTATGCAAGTTAGCAAAATGTGACTATCTCTAAATTTTAAGTAAATTCCATTAGGCTAAAGTTCACCTCTGCTCTAACAATAGGATTAAGTCCAGTAATATGAACAATAAATTGAGAAATGGAATGGTTGCACTAGATATAAACCATAACAAAATCCCTACTATTGTCAACCAAATTTTCCCAGATAATTTCCTAAAGGTAGAAGAGAAGAGGCTGACCACTATCTGAATAATTGCTTACATTTACCTAGCTAATTCACTTTTACCTAGCTAATTCGCTTCTTTTTTTTTTCCTTAAGAGAAATTTTCACTATAGGGTTCCAAAGAGTCAGAGAGACAGAAAGTGAAAAATCCCTACCACCACCCCACCCTGTTTCAGGGGATGGCCACATCACAATCCCTTCTCCCCTATTCTCCTTCTGGGATTTTGGGAATACACAAACACTTGCCCAGCATGAGTTTTAAGCTGCTGGGTCTGGGATTTGAACCATGGTCGACTATGTGGGAGTCCAGCAGTGTAACTGTTATACCATCTGCTGGTCCCACTGAAATTTCTAGTTCTCAGTTCTCTAACAACTGCTTCACTTTTTCTACCAATATTAGAGAAATGGCAAAACACTGAGGACTGCAATGCCTTCAGGTTATTTCAAAACCATTTTTAAATGAATAATTAAGTCTATGAAGAGATCATTTTAAATTTCCCCCAAATCATTTTTGATTTATACATATTTTAAAAATTATCTATCATGATATATTTTGTCTGGGGATAAACGTTCATAGCCATTGCTTTATCATTAGTAATTCTTGCTACCAGGAACCCTTATAATAATACCGGTATGTTATCTTATTTAAATCTCACAGTCATCCTACAAAGTAAGCATAATTAGCCTCATCTAGGAACTGAGAAAAATCATAATAAGCTTAAGTAAGTGGCTTGAGTTCATGAAATCAGAAAGTCAGGGAATAGGGAGTCAACTCAGACTTTTCTAAGGCCAGAGCCTAAGCACTCACGGCCATCTAACAATTGGAGTGTCGCTAGCCCAAGAGGAGAGAACTGTTGAGGAAATATCTCTTAATATCAATATATAAGAAATACTATGAGGGACCAGCAGTTAGCATAATGGTTATGTTCGCTGGACTCCCATGTAGTCATCCGCGGTTCATGTCCTGGACCCAGTGGCTTAAAACTCACGCTGGGCTCGTGTGCGTGCGTGTCTAAGATCCTGAGAGGAGAATGGAGAAGGGGGATTGTGGCGTGGCCATCCCCCATGGGGGGTGATTCCTCACTTTCTGTCTCTCTGTCTGTCTGTCTGGTGAGCGTATGAGCCCTATAGCAAAAAAACTCTCCAAAAAAAAAGAAAGAAAGAAAGAAAGAAATACTATGAGAAAGGTCCCATGGCCTGGTGTTGAGAGAACTGAATCTCAAATGGCCAAACTTTTGGTTCAAATTTCAAACATAGCTTGACACTCATCAGTGCATGCATGTTCAAAATTCCAACAGGGTATATAAATAGAGGAGGGATTGCAGCGTGACCACACCCCATTGAGGGTGTGAAAAGAGTTTTCTTGCTCTTTGTCTCTGTCTCTTGCTGGCAAGTATACATGCCCTCTGGCAAAAAAGAAGGAAGGGGACCAGCAGATGGCATAGTGGTTACATTGCTGGACTCCCACATAGTTGACTGGAGTTCGGGGTCTGGACCTGGCATCTTAAAACTCACACTAGGCACATGTGCGTGTATGCCCAAGGTCCCAAGAGGAGAATGGAGGAGGAGGGATTGTGGTGTTGCCATCCCCCTTAGTAGGTAAGTTTTTGCTTGCTGTCTCTCTCTCCAGTGAGAGCACGCACCTGATAGCAAAAATCTCTCTAAAAAAAAGAAAGAAGGAAGGAAGGGATGAAGTCTATGGTCTATTATACTAATTTTTAGCTCTTCTTTCATTTTTTTCCCATTGTTTTCCTTTAGTTGCTGGAAACCTTTCTGCTGCATTGTCTATAATGGTAGCTGGCTTGTTTGAAATACGTAGAAAATATTTCCCTCCAGTGGAGCAGCCTATTTCAGGCAAAGTTCTAACAGTTTCTTCTATGCCATGTGTCTACCTGGTTCTTCAGTACATCCTATTTGGAGTAGCTGAAACACTGGTAAACCCAGCTGGTGAGTAATAATTTCATCAAATTGTCTTATGTTAGAACACACAGAACCTTTATACAGAGCACATCACCTCAACAGGAGTAATTAAGAAGTAAGTGAACTATTCACCCTCAATGCTTCAAGAAAGCCTATATACATCCTCACTTTTTAAAAGTAATTATTATCTTTATTTAACTTTTTTTTTCTTTTTTAAAATTTGATCAGAGAGGGACAGAGTGAGAAAGAGAGAAAGTGAGAAAGCAAGCCTGCCAGGTCCGGGACTCGAACTGCAGTCAGCCATGTGAGAGACCAGTGCCCTTAACCACCACAACACTTGTTGGTCCCACCATCCTCATTTTTTAAGTTTACTTTATTATTTCTTCCATGAATAAGAGAGACCAAGAGAGAGAGAGCCATTCCCACTAGGGTCCCAGTCAGCCTCGGATCTCGGCCATGTGTGCACTCTGTCCAGGGAGGTCTCTGCATGCAAACCTGGAATCTCCCCTATAGGTCAGCCTCACAGAGCATTTTACTGCTGTGCCACCAATGGCTCCTCACACTCATTTAAAAAAATGTTTCGTTTTTCTTCATTCCCCTACCATTTACAGAATAATTATTAATTCCAACTGGATATAGAGGGAATGAAAAATTCACTAACTGGTTAAAGGCAATAACCATTTGGTCAGATACACAGCAGGAGGGAAAAGACTTGGCTAAAACCTAGAAGAGTTCTAGCAACTCAAATAAGAACTCTCTTAACTCTCTTCCTTTTCCCTTCCCTCTTTCCACCTCCTTTTGGCTCATAGGTGAACTCACATGCCTACTTCCTCTGAAAATGACATTTAGTGTATGTTGAGAGTGTATAACATGCAAATGATAAGAAAATTTCAGTCAATTTTCCAGATAACTCAATGTCTTTAAATCGCTAGATTAAATATGATCATATAACAAGTTTGAAATAAGTTTATTAAGTATCAAGGATTTCTGGATCATATAGATTACTTAAAGTGATCTAGTCACTTAAAAAATTATCATAATACTTCAGTGACTTCCTGAAATACAAAAATGTGTGTGCGTGGGACCAGCAGTTAGTGTAATGGCTATGTTACTGGACTCCCATGTAGTCGACCACGGTTCGTGTCCCGGACCCGGTGGCTTAAAACTCACACCGGGCACGTGTGCATGCGTGCCCAAGATGCCAAGAGGAGAATGGAGGAGAAGGGAATGTGGCGTGGCCATCCCCCCTGGGGGGTGATTTCTCGCTTTCTGTCTGTCTGTCTCTGTCTGTCTGGCGAGCGCACACGCCCTATAGCAAAAACCTCTCAAAAAAAAAAA